CCCCAAAACCCCAAAACCCCAAAACCCCAAAACCCCAAAACCCCAAAACCCCAGACTTGTGTGACGTTATGGAAACCTTATTAAATTAAAGTGGAAGGTGGAGGATTAGTAAGGTTCAGATTGGACATCACAGAATTCTTCATCCTCGTCTCCTTCAGAGCTAAATTCTCTATTTGTTCCATAGTACCCTGTGATCTCTCTGATCCTTCTTCTTGAATCTCTCTTTTTATGAGCTTTTGATTCATCTTCAGTGAAAACAGATATATTTCCTCCAAAGGAAGTGGCAGCTATTACAGGCACCTTAGGATGCCATGAGACGTCTCTAATACATTCAGCAGATTTACTAGAGATGTATGTCTTACTTTCTCCAGTCATTATGTCAAATACATAGACTCAGCCATCTGCAGATCCTGAATAAAGGTATCTCTGTCCTGTGTTCTCTGATGGGGAGAAATAGCATCTGATGAGAGTTTGGAGGACGGTGTGCCCTCTGAAAGTCATCACTGAGTTATCCATCTCGTGCTTGTCTAGATCCTTATAAGTATAGTCCATCCATCTGTAATCGAATTGTTCCATAACATTGAGGTTTCTAACATTATCTAGGTCGCTAATGTCATTCATTTTCCTGATATCCCAGAGCTTGAGTTGCTGATCTTTTCCGTTTGATGCCAGGTAGCGCTCGTCTCCTCGAGAATCAATAGAAGTGACTCCCTCTCTGTGGCCAATAAAGCAGCCTATTGGTTTGTTTGAATCCATGATTCTTCTATCCCATGCTTTAATGACATAATCGTCAGATCCTGTAAAAAGAATGTTTGAGTTGTTTCTATTAGCGAAACACACAGTGTTAATGTCGTCCCGGTGGGTATTCAGGATATTACAGACCCTTTCTTCCTTATTAAGATCATAGACAATGATCCTAGCTGTGTTGGTCACACAGACAATCTCGCTACCATCGCCTGAGAATTTGCAGTTAAAGATCCCTGAGTAATTGAAGTAATTCATTGGAGCATCATTGTCTTCAGATAGGTCAACTTTTGCATGAAACTTTCACAATGTTTGCAAATCGACAATGTGCAGGTAAGGTGAAATAGAGGAGTAAATCAATTTTTCTTCATCCTCAGTCGTATCCATGCTCGTGATAGTCCAGTTTACATCAAGAGCATTCACAGACTTGATTTTCTTCATATTGTAGGGATCATACGAATCATAAATTCCTATAATGTCTTGACTGGAGCAATAATAAAGCTTCCCATTCGAGGTGAATCTTCCTCCATAAACTCTGGAGTTGATATCAAAGATGAACTTATAGCTCAGCTTATTAGGAACATGTTCAGAGATGATGTCGACATCTTGGACAATCCCATGTCCATCTTTGTCAAAATTGGAGATATTCAAATTATTTGTTGCCTGATGTGAATCTCCATTCTCAGAAGCAAGAGCAGAGGTCTTATGTTCTTCAAGGTCATTTAAAAACTCAAGGGCATTGAAGGTATTATTACTATCCAAAATTTCTCCAGTCGTCACAGATGATTCTTCGACTTTTCTCTTCTTAAAAAGAAGCATATCTCTGAGTCTTTGCATAGGTAGGCTAAATCAGACTGTTAGAGGTTCGAAACTACTAAACTTCGGGCCAAATTTTATACAAGCAGTTGCTTATAACGCACCAGACCCTGCTTTCTCAGAAAAGGACAAATGCATACTCTTGATAAGATACTTAATAATAATTTATGAGACTAGTTTTTAAATCTTCTTATGGCTACTGGGGTTTTGGGGTTTTGGGGTTTTGGGGTTTTGGGGTTTTGGGGTTTTGGGGTTTTGGGG